TTTGACATGAATGTCAGGATTTGTGTAGAAATTGAATTGCAATTTAAAAAGTATTTTTGATTTTCTATTAATTGGAATTAACACAGGAAAAAGGTTTAGAGAGTATGAGAGAAAACGCTGTAGTTAGAGAACACTCACCGATGATCCCCTCCTTTTACTCCGGATTGATTTCAAATACCAATATATATAAATATAATCAGACAATTTATCAGATAAAATATCAATAGTCAACCCTCAATTCCTTGATGAATTAACCCTTTAATCTCATATGGAGCCTTAATTCCTTGAGGTGCTCTATATAAAATTAAGCATAGAGATCGATAAATTAAACGTCTGCAATACAAAATACGTCTATCCCTAGAACGCATTCATACCATCGTTCTACCCCCTTTCTAGATTGAAAGCCGCAGATTCCTCTTGTTGGCCCTAATCCCCAAATTACCATTAACTACTAGATTGATCAATTCTAATAAAAATGATATCAATATGATAAGAAACGAAATATAGAAGATATATATAAAAGTATAAAAACTCAATCCATCGTTTCAGGGGTTCACAAGGGCTTGTGACCCTAAGCACAACAAAGGAGTTTAGCTAGCCATAGACATGGTAGCTATACAAGAATCCAACATAAAACAGAAATTAGATCCAAAAAGATGAAGATGAATGAATTCTCTCTGAAAAACTCTCCAAAACCTAGCCTCCACCCGTGTGTATATGTCAAACACCAAAGGAGCATAACTTTTATCTCACTTCTTCCACTTTTCCAAAAATACCCTCATAAATTCGCAACTTTCGTACTTCCTGCGCTCCATCGCGTGGGATCCTGCGCTGTATCGCGTGGGCACTCTGGTCAATGTATGATAGCCTGATCTGAAAATTCTGGGTTGGCCACGCGGTACCACGCGATGGTCCACGTGATATAGCGTGGCTTCTCTGGAAAATGGCCCATGACACGATCAGTTTTCCTCTTTTTTGGATTTTTTTGTATTTTCTTGCTAAAACCTATATAAAAATAAATAAAAAGTGAGAAATAAAACTGAGATAATAAAAATCAAAATATAAAATAACTATGTGTAAAAACAACTACAAATAGACTTAAAATTTAATATTTTTGTCTTAGAAAACCATATATGCCAGAGGCACATCAAATTATTCCCAGATTTAAACGTTGATGTCCCCAGCAATAGACAAGATCAGACCATAGGAAGACCAACAAAAGCAACAATCCAGCAATAATATCACACAAGCAATCATAGACCACTATACTAAGCATGCCTGAATCAATGTACTGAACTCTCAACAATACCCTCATTCTCATGAAAATTATCAGAGATCTAACTTGAATACCCCTCACAGATATAATATAACACTCATCACTCACGTGTCTAGGGGAATAACAAGCACTCAATTCCACCACAGCAATAGCACAACCAAAGCTTGATCATATTCTCAAAATTCCCAAAGATAAGGAACTATAACACATGCATAATTTGATCAGAAGGACTTGCAAAGGATATAACTTGGCCAGGCTCAGGGTTAGGAATTTATGGACAGTAGCTAACATATAAGTTGAGATTGAAACACACAGATATACATACTTTTGAAGCACACTCATATCTCAACAAAATTTAGCTCCACTAGCTCTCACAGAATTTCGAGAACCAATTCCTTTATTTACCACCTTTCATTGCTATGAACAATTTTTCTTCACTTTACTTTTTATTTTTTTATTTTTATTTTTAAAGTATAAACTTTACATTGGAGGGTTGCCTCCCAGCTAGCGCTTGTTTAACGTCCCGAGCCTGACGGTTACCTCTTTAAGGCTGAAGGGATGTTAGGCGCAAAGCCACTGCGTGCTTTACCACAGGTCCTCCACGTAAGAGCTTCAGCCTCGAGCCATTGACCTTGAAAGGTCTGTCTTCATCCATGGGAGATATTTTAACAGTGCCATAGGGAAACACCTCTTTAACCACAAAAGGACCTGTCCACCTGGATTTCAACTTTCCTGGAAACAGCTTCAGGCGAGAGTTATACAACAACACTTTCTGACCAGGCTCAAATTCCTTGTGTACAATTCTGCTATCATGGTATTTCTTTGTCTTTTCCTTGTATATCCTGGCACTTTCAAAAGCAGAATTCCTAAACTCATTAAGCTCTAATAATTGAAATTTTCTCCTCTCAGGAGCTACTGTAAAATCAAAGTTCAGGAATTTGATAGCCCAAAAGGCTCTATGTTCAAGCTCCACAGGTAAGTGACAAGCCTTCCCATACACCAGCTGATAAGGGGACATCCCTATAGGAGTTTTATATGCAGTTCGATAAGCCCATAGTGCATCATCTAATCTTTTTGACCAATCTTTCAGAGAAATGCTAACAATCTTTTCAAGAATGCGCTTCAATTCCCTGTTGGAAACCTCGACTTGACCACTAGTCTGCAGATGGTAAGGTGTAGCAACCTTATGCCTGACACCATACTTGGCCAACAAATTCTCAAACTTCTTGTTGCAAAAATGGGAGCCTCCATCACTTATGATTGCTCTTGGCACACCAAACCTAGTAAAAATGTTCTTCCACAAAAAATTCACAACCACTTTGGCATCATTAGTAGGAAGAGCCACTGCCTCAACCCATTTAGAAACATAATCAACAGCTACCAAAATGTACTGGTTGGAATAGGAAGATATAAATGGGCCCATAAAATCAACTCCCCACAAATCAAATAACTCCACCTCCATAATACTGTTTAGAGGCATCTCATCTCTACGGAATATGTTACCCGTTTTCTGGCATTTTTCACACTTTTCAACATATTCTCTTGCATCTTTGAAAAGTGTAGGCCAATAGTAACCACTTTGTAATACTTTTTGGGCAGTTCTATTACCACCAAAATGGCCACCATATTCAGAATTATGACAATGCCACAAAATTTCTGTAATTTCCATCTCAGATACACACCTTCTCAAGATACCATCAGAACATTGGAAATAAAGAAAGGGATCATCCCATACATACCTCCTCGCATCATACAGAAACTTTTTCACCTGTTGCTTTATGAGACTAGGAGGTATTTTCTTGATCACTTTAAAATTGACAACATCAGCAAACCAAGGCTCTACATGCATAGCAAAAATCGGTTTTTCAAATAACTCTAAAGAAATAGCAAGAACCTGTTCATCGGGGAAAGAATCATTGATTTCTATAGCAGGATCATCTTGCAGGTTCTTCTCCTGAATTCTGGACAGGTGGTCAACAACTTTATTCTCCATTCCAGACTTATCTTTTATTTCCAAATCAAATTCTTGGAATAACAGCATCCACCTTAACAATCATGGCTTGGCATCCTGTTTGGACATCAAATATTTTATAGCCGCATGATCAGTGAAAATAATAGTCTTGGCACCAAGGAGATATGGTCTAAATTTATCCAGAGCATACACCACAACAAGCATCTCCTTTTCAGTTGTTGCATAATTCACTTGAGCTTCGTTCAAAACTTTACTGGCATAGTAGATAACATGCAGAAATTTATTTTTCCTCTGCCCAAGAACTGCACCAATGGCAAAATCACTAGCGTCACACATTAACTCAAAAGGCATACTCCAATCAGGAGATATTAAAACAGGAGCAGTGGTGAGCTTTTCTTTTAGCAAATTAAATGCTTTGAGACAAGCATCATCAAAAACAAACTCATTCTCTTTCATCATAAGCTAACTTAGTGGCTTAGCACTTTTAGAGAAGTCCTTAATGAATCTTCTATAAAAGCCAGCATGGCCAAGGAAACTTCTCACTCCATTAACGTTAACTGGAGAAGGGAGTTTTTCAATGAGCATCAATTTTGCTTTGTCCACTTCTATACCATCCCTTGAAATTTTATGTCCAAGCACAATGCCCTCTTGGACTATAAAGTGACATTTCTCCCAGTTGAGAACCAGATTTGTCTCTTGGCATCTTTGTAGCACCTTAGACAAATTGTCTAAACAAACATCAAAACGAGAGCCAAAGACAGAAAAGTCATCCATGAAAACTTCCAAATACTTTTCCACCATATCAGAAAAAATAGACAGCATGCACCTCTGAAAAGTAGCAGGTGCATTGCATAACCCAAACGGAATCCTCCTATAGGCAAAAACGCCAAAGGGACAAGTGAACGCTGTCTTTTCCTGATCTTCAGGGGCTACTGCAGTCTGATTATAGCCACTGTACCCATCTAAGAAACAATAATAAGAGTGACCTGCTAACCTTTCCAGCATTTGATCCACAAAAGGAAGAGGAAAGTGGTCCTTCCTTGTTGCAGCATTAAGCCTTCTATAATCAACGCACATCCTCCAACCAGTAATTGTCCTGGTGGGGATCAGCTCATTCTTATCATTTTTCACCACAGTGATACCTCTTTTCTTAGGTACAGTTTGTACAGGGCTTACCCATGCAGTATCGGATATAGAATAAATCATGCCTGCATCAAGGAGTTTAACAACTTCTTTTCTCACCACCTCCTTCATCACGGGATTTAATCTCCTTTGAGGCTGCCTTACCGGTTTGATATCATTCTCCATCAGAATCTTATGTGTGCAGAAGGAAGGACTTATACCCTTTAGATCAGTAATGGACCATCCCAAGGTAGTTTTGTGCTCTAGAAGAACTTGTTTCAACTTTTTCTCATCATCAGAAGATAACCCCTTATTAACAATTACAGGATATGTCTCATTATCTCCCAGAAACATGTACTTCAGATTAATAGGCAACTCTTTTATATCAACTTTAGGAGCACCTATTTCTTTATCAGACTCCTTATGTTCAAGAAACTCATTAGCAACATAAGTATCCTCCTCAAAAGGGATATGATCTCGCTCATGCAAATCATCATTCAATTCTTGCAAAGGAGTTTTCTCTTCATGTACCACCTCCTCTAAGACATCAATTTTGAAACAATCACCATCTTCATAGGGTCTTTTCATAGAATCAAAGACATTGACAGTAATTGTATCGTCATTCATTCTTCACACAAGTTTCCCTTGCTCCACATCAATCATAGCACGAGCTGTGGCTAAGAAAGGCCTACCCAAAAGAAGGGGCATTTCATTTTCAACTTCCATATCAAGCACAACAAAATCAGCAGGGAAAATGAACTTGTCAACTTTCACAAGAACATCTTCGATAATACCACTGGGCTTCCTTAGGGATCTATCAGCAAGCTGAAGAGAAACCAAAGTAGGCTTCAATTCAGTAATCCCTAAGGCTTTACAGACAGATAAAGGCATCAAATTAATGCTTGCCCCCAAATCACATAAGGCCCTGCCAATCTTTGTTTCACCAATTTCAATTTCAATGTTGAAGCTTCCAGGATCACGAAGCTTAGGAGGGAACTTTCTAGTAATGATGGCACTGCACTCTTCAGTAAGTGCAACTGTCTGACATTCTTGCAGCTTGTGCTTTCTAGAGAGAAGGTCCTTCATAAACTTTGCATAATTTGGCATACTAGCCAATGCTTCAGCAAATGGAATGTTCACATGCAACTTCTTAAAAATGTCAAGAAACCTGTCATAGCTTTTTGCTTTCAACTCTGGCTTCAACCTTCCAGGGTAAGGTGCCATTTTCATAAGATATTCCTCACTAAGCTCAAACTTTTCTTTTGAAACATCAGGTTGGTCTTTCTGTTTACCAGCAACAACAGGCTTCACTACTTTTGGAGAACTCTCAGCTTCTTTTTCAGATTTCTCTACCTCTTCAACTTTCTCATCCTCCTCCACCTCAATGATAGGCTCTGGGGGAGATGCCACCACTTTACCACTTCTGGTGGTGATAGCTATACAACCTTCCTTAGGATTCGTGATAGTATTGCCAGGAAATGTACTGGTGCTCTGTCAGACAATTGTTGGGCAAGCTGACCAATCTGATTTTCCAGGTTCTTAATTGAAGCTTTGGTATTCCTGGCATCAGCTCTACTCTCCTCAATGAAAGCATTGGTACTTTGTGCCAAAGATCCAACTAACCGCTCCAAATCAGAAGGCTCTCTTTGTGGAATAGGCGGTGGCTTCAAATAATTATCAGATTTCATATCTAAACCAGTGCCTTGATAATTCCTTCTTTGGTAATTTTGCTGGTTAGGACGTTGATCATACCAAACACCATTTACTTGCAGTTGTTGAGAAGAATATGAAGACATCAGTGTTGGACAAGCATTAGTATCATGATTCTCATGGCAATATTCACATTCAACATTAACAGCATTGGCTTGAACTTTAGAAAGCTGCATCCTCTCAAATTTGGTATTCAAATTAGTCATCTGCTGAGACAATAATTTTTGCTCAGCCAAGACTGCATCATGATCTCTTAATGGCACCACTCCTCTTTTTCCCAGCATTGAGGTTGTCTCATTCTCATTCTTAGCCAATTTGTCAATCAGCTGATATGACTCAGATGCTAGTTTGTCTCCCAAAGAACCTCCTGCTGCAGTATTCACAACTAATTTGGTTTCAAGCAGACACCCATTGAAGAAAATCCGCACCTGATCGCCTTGAGATAGGTTATAATGAGGAACCTTTCTCATGAGAGCCTTAAATCTATTCCAAGAAGCACAGATGGTCTCTCCCAGATGTTGTTTAAATGATGTGATATCATTTACCATGTTATTGTATTTTTCCATGGGAAAGAATTCTGCAAAGAATTTCTCAGACAAATTTTCCCACGTAAGGATGCTTTCAGCAGGTTGTCTTTCCATCCAATCAAGAGCTTTTCCCTTAACAGCAAAAGGAAAAAGTCTCAACCGTATGGCATCATCTGAAACATGTGGAGGCTTTGTGGAATCACAGATTCTTAAAAATCTATCAACAAATTTATGCGGATCTTCATCATCCTCTCCTCCATATTTTTCTCTTTCAGCCAGCTGAATAATATTGGACTTGAGCTCCCATTGATTGTTCCCAAGGTCAGGTGGAACAATGCCAGCATTTGGCCTGTTAAAAACAGGTGTGAGGATAGTATTCATGCGTGGATCTGCATTCTGATTAGGAGCAGCCATCTCTGGTATCTCAAATGGTACGGCTGTATTGTCAATTGATGAAGTACCGGTTGCCTGTGCTCTCTCTCTCTCCCTCTGAGCAATTCGTGCACTTCTCCTTAGAAAAACGCTGCCTTGCATACAACTCAGAAAAAGAATTAGTAGCACAGTAACAAAAACAAAAATAAAAAATAAAAATCAAAATATTCACAATTTTCAATTTTAAAAATCAAGATTAATTGATATTAAAATGCAGCTCCCCGGCAACGGCGCCAAAAACTTGACGTTATTCGGCAAGTGTACCGATCGCGCAAGTAATATAGTAATACGAAAGGTCGAACCCACAAGGAGTGTATCTAATATCAGAAAAAAAAAATCTATCCTTTTAAAATGAAAAGATTCAAGACGTTTTGACACGAATGTCAGGATTTGTGTAGAAATTGAATTGCAATTTAAAAAGTATTTTTGATTTTCTATTAATTGGAATTAACACAGGAAAAAGGTTTAGAGAGTATGAGAGAAAACGCTGTAGTTAGAGAACACTCACCGATGATCTCCGCCTTTTACTCCGGATTGATTTCAAATACCAATATATATAAATATAATCAGACAATTTATCAGATAAAATATCAATAGTCAACCCCCAATTCCTTGATGAATTAACCCTTTAATCTCATATGGAGCCCTAATTCCTTGAGGTGCTCTACATAAAATTAAGCATAGAGATCGATAAATTAAACGTATGCAATACAAAATACGTCTATCCCTAGAACGCATTCATACCATCGTTCTACCCCCTTTCTAGATTGAAAGCCGCAGATTCCTCTTGTTGGCCCTAATCCCCAAATTACCATTAACTACTAGATTGATCAATTCTAATAAAAATGATATCAATACGATCAGAGTAGAAACAAAATATATAAGATATATATAAAAGTATAAAAACTCAATCCATCGTATCAGGGGTTCACAAGGGCTTGTGACCCTAACCACAACAAAGGAGTTTAGCTAGCCATATACATGGTAGCTATACAAGAATCCAACATAAAACAGAAATTAGATCCAAAAAGATGAAGATGAATGAATTCTCTCTGAAAAACTCTCCAAAACCTAGCCTCCACCTGTGTGTATATGTCAAACACCAAAGGAGCATAACTTTTATCTCATTTCTTCCACTTTTCCAAAAATACCCTCATAAATTCGCAACTTTCGTACTTCCCGCGCTCCATCGCGTGGGATCCTGCGCTGTATCGCGTGGGCACTCTGGTCAATGTATGATAGCCTGATCTGAAAATTCTGGGTTGGCCACGCGGTACCACGCGATGGTCCACGCGATATAGCGTGGCTTCTCTGGAAAATGGCCCATGACACGATCAGTTTTCCTCTTTTTTGGATTTTTTTGTATTTTCTTGCTAAAACCTATATAAAAATAAATAAAAAGTGAGAAATAAAACTGAGATAATAAAAATCAAAATATAATGTGTAAAAACAACTACAAATAGACTTAAAATCTAATATTTTTGTCTTGGAAAACCATATATGCCAGAGGCACATCAACTTTCAGCATTCTAACCCACTTATTATAATTATTAAGCCACATAAATAATTATTAGGGTCAATTATGGAATCATTTCCTATTTTCACATAATTAATTAATTAAATACCTTAATTAACGGTGCGGGTTCTTACATTCACCCCACCTTTTTAGGATTTTGACCTCAAAATCAGAAACATACCTGGTTGAAACTCGGGGTACTGCCGGAGAAGCTCGTCCTCACGCTCTCAAGTACACTCCTCAGGAGTTCTTCCGGTCCACTGCACCTTGACCATTGGAATGATCTTGCTCCTCAGCTGCTTCTCGCCACGATCGAGAATTCTGAGTGGTCCGACGGGAGTCTTCAGGTTCTCCCGAACCTCCACATCATCCGGTTGCACCACGTGCGAAGGATCTGCTATGTCTTCCGAAGCTGAGACACGTGAAACACGTCGTGGATGTTAGCCAGGTTCGGAGGCAAGGCAAGCCGGTAGGCAACAGGTCCTACTCTACCAAGGATCTGGTATGGCCCAATATATCGCGGGCTCAGCTTCCTCACTCCGAGTGCCCGACCAACACCGGTGACAGGTGAAAGTCTCACAAACACGTGCTCACCCTCACTGAACTCCAGCGGACGATGCTTGACATCATAGTAGCTCTTCTGGCGATTCTGCGCCTGCTTCAACTTTTCACGGATCATCTGGATCCGCAAGGTGGTATCTTGGACAAAGTCCAAGCCAAAAAGCTCCTTGTCCCCAACCTCAGACCAACAAGTAGGAGTCTGACACCTCCTACCATACAGTGCTTCGTAGGGCGCCATGCCCAGGCTAGCATGAAAGCTGTTGTTGTAAGAAAACTCAACCAACGGAAGGTACCTATCCCATGCCGAGCCCTGCTCCAACGTGCAAGCTCGCAACATGTCCTCCAAGGTCTGGATGGTCCTCTCAGTCTATCCATCAGTCTGAGGGTGATAGGCGGTACTCAATCTCAACTGCGTACCAAAAGCCTCCTGCAGCGCCTCCCAGATCCGAGATGTGAACTTCGGGTCCCTATCACTGATGATACTCTCGGGCACCCCGTGAAGCCTCACAATCTCGCGAACATAAAGCTTGGCCAACTGCTCTATAGTGAAGCTCATCTTCACTGGAAGAAAATGGGCAGACTTCGTCAGTCTGTCCACAATGACCCAAATAGAGTCACAACCCTCCTGAGTCTTCGGCAATCCCACCACGAAGTCCATGGAAATACCTTCTCACTTCCACTGTGATACTTCAAGAGGTTGAAGTTCACCAGATGGTCTCTGATGCTCAATCTTCACCTTCTGGCAAACCAAACACTTGGACACAAAGATAGCCACATCTTTCTTCATGCCCGGCCACCAGAAGTTCTTCTTCAAGTCTCGATACATCTTAGTAGCACCAAGGTGGATAGAAAACTGACCCTTATGGCCTTCTGCCATAACCTCTTCTGTCAACGGGCCTCGAGGAACTACAATCATCTGCTGAAATAAAAGCAATCCATCATCATTCCAAGACACACCGTCTTGGTTCTTCACATAATCCAGACACTATCTCTGAACTTGTGCCTCTTTAATCTTTTCTAGCAGCTCGTTCACAACATCAGTTGCTTCCAACTCGAGAAGTACACTCTCACACGGAGCGGTCACTGCCAAGTTTCAGAACTTCTCAACCACATCAAAGTTACCAAGTAACAAGCTGGATGAACTACTGGATTTCCGACTCAAAGCATCAGCTACCACATTGGCCTTGCCAGGATGATACCTTAGCTCGAAGTCTTAGTCCTTTATGAACTCCATCCATCTCCTCTGCCTCATGTTCAACTCCTTCTGGTCGAACAGGTACTTCAAACTCTTGTGGTCACTAAACACCACAAACCTCAAACCAAAAAGATAATGCCTCCAAATCTTGAAAGCAGACACAATAGCAGCCAACTCCAAGTCATGAGTAGGGTAGTTCTCCTCATGAGGTTTCAACTGCCACGAAGCATAGGCAATCACTTTGCCCAACTGCATCTACACACAACCTAGCCCCTTCCCGGAGGCATCGGTGTAAAGCTCAATCTCAAGCGCAGGATCAGGAAGGACCAACACAGGAGCAGTAGTCAGTCTCTCCTTCAACTCCTGAAAACAGACGTCACACTTGTGAGTCCACACAAATGGAGTCTCCTTCCGAGTAAGGCGAGTCAATGGCAAAACCATGGTGGAGAATCCCTTGATGAACCTCCGATAGTAACCTGCCAAACCCAGAAAGCTCCTCACTTCCGTAACTGTCTTGGGTCTCTCCCAATCCAGCACGGCCTCAATCTTGTTCGGATCCACTGCAACTCCCTCAACAGAAATAACATGCCCAAGAAACTTCACAGACTTGAGCCAAAACTCACATTTGGAAGGCTTCACATACAACTTCTTCTCCTTCAGCACTTGCAGAACAGTTCTCAAATGCTCCACATGCTCTTCCTCCGTCTTGGAAAAATCAAAATGTCGTCAATGAAGACGATCACAAACTGATCCAGATACGGCTGGAAAATCCGGTTCATGTAATCCATGAACACAGCAGGTGCATTGGTGAGACCGAACGGAATCACCAAGTACTCAAAATGACCATATCTCGAGCGAAATGCGGTCTTCGGGACATCCTCCGGCTTCACCCGAATCTGATGGTATCCGAACCGGAGATCAATCTTGGAATACACACAAGCACCCCTGAGCTGATCCAACAGATCATCAATCCGAGGAAGGGGATACTTGTTCTTGATTGTCTCCTTGTTCAGCTGCCTGTAGTCGGTGCACAATCGCATTGTCTCGTCCTTCTTCTTCACAAAGATAACCGGTGCTCCCCAAGGAGACACACTCGGTCTAATGAAATCTCTCGCTGAAAGATCCTCAATATGCTTCTTCGGCTCTTCCAACTCCAGTGGCGACATCCGGTATGGAGCTAAAGAAATCGGCTCCACACCAGGCAACAGATCTATGGAGAACTCTATCTCCCTCTGTGGCGGAAACTCAGGAATCTCCTCAGGAAACACCTCGAGGAATTCCCTCACCACAGGAATGCCAGTGATATCCTCCTGTGTACCACTCACCAAACCTCCCAACATGACATAACCAAATGCCCCTGCTCTCAAGGCTCTCCTAGCCTGCAGCAACGAAATGTACGGCGAGGAACTGGTTGTGGAATCACACGGAGACAACACTACACGCTTGGCACAAAAGTCAATCATCACACAATTTCTGGACAGCCAATCCATGCCCAGAATAACCTCCAAGTTGGCCATCGACAACCCTATCAGATCTACCGAGAACTCACGGCCATCCCACTGAAACGCCACATCACGATGAACAGTGGTAGCATCACATCTTTCTCCGGTGGCGGTGGTCACCCGCAGCGGTGGAGAAAGCACAGACATGGGCAACTCAAGCCCCACAGCAATCGGGGTAGCATCAAAAGAATGCGTAGCCCCAGAGTCA